GTGACGATCTGGGCAAAGCATTACAATTCCTAGCCAGCCCAGTCATGATTCTCTGGCAAACTGCACAGTCATGGTTATGATGCATGGGGATAAGAGGTGCTATATAAATGTTAGATATTACATAAATGTCAGGAATGATCATTGTTTGTTAATGGGGTCTAAACTGTTCTTAAGCAAAACTCTGACTCCAGCCAACACAGCGGTAGTAGAGATTCTAAGCACCAAATAACGCATCTGAATGGAATGCTCACCCCTTGTTCTAGAAAGGAGACCAGTTGGGATCTGGGGCTTGAAAACAGGGAATGCAGTGGTCCCGGTGCTACCACCTGCCCAAGTGACTTCAGGCCAGCTCCCCAACCTCCTGGAGTATGCCTTAGCTCACCTGTAAAATGGGGATAATAATAACACCTGCCCTACTTCTTCCTGTGCTCCGTGGTTGTGAGAATCAAGGGCATTCATGTGGGTACAAGTGCTTTGTTAAGGGTGAGATGCTGCAAGGATGACCATGGTCATTTTGGATCCTCTGGAATTTGGCCTATGCCTCCCTTTGAGTCCTGCTCACAAGGAGAAATCCGAATGGAAATTAAACTGGGGGCGGGGATGGTGACTGGCCCATGCTGAAAATGCCAGGCTCAGGAAGACACTGCAGACCAGGCGCCGGATCCTGCATTTTGGCTCTGGCTCTGCCACTTGCCAGCCTGTGAGCTTGGGCGAGTTACAGAGGAGGCTCTGGAAGTGATCGCCAAGGGCCCTTCCGGCTCTGACGCTGAGTCTAAATCAGGCTCATCACTTGGCTCTAGCTGTGATTCACCTTTCGCCTCCTGGAGAAACTCCCCTCCAGCTTCTCAGACGCATGAAGCAGGGGTCTTGGAAAAGGTGGGGGCTATGTATTCCATGTGAGGGTGCACAGTAAATAAGTTATTCCTTTGGAGGTGAGGTGGGGTAGGGGACGGTGGAAAGGGGTGCTGAGTATTCTGGGAAGCCAGGATTCAGGGAACACTCTAATGAGGTCACGACTGTCGCAGGCGAACAGGAGCTGGACATCTGCTGCTGGAGGAAGTGGGGGAGCGTCTTGCATTTCGGTTTGCAGAAAGTCTTCATCCCGCACCCTTTAGCACCCCCGTAACCCCCTACCCCTGTCCCCATCCCCACACCTTTCAAAGGCTACCAGGCCTTGCTAGGAGGACAGCCCGTGTCCGTGCCTCCTCCGTGGTCCTGTCTGAAACCGCGAGGATTGTTTCCAAGCTGACTCACACCACTAATGTCAGGGAGCCGTGTCACACGGCGCTGGGCTCTGCAAGCTGTTGCTTGCGCGGTCGCCGCCGCGGCCGCCGCTCCCCGGCGGGTGCATCAGGGTCCGCTCTTGGGGCGGGGGCGGGGGCGGGGGCGGGGCGTGGCCGGGGCGGAGTCCGCCCCTTCGGCGCGGCGGCCCCGCCCCTCCTCTCCCTCCCCCGCGGACCGCAATGATTTAGAAGTTCAGGAATCCCACGTGACGTCACCGGGGGGGTGATGTAATGCACTCTAAATAGAATGTATTGTAATCTTTGCTCAGTCCAACGTGGTCCCTTCACCCGGGCTCCGCTCTTGCCTTCTCCACACTTGTTTGGTAAGTTCCTAAAAATACGGCTCAGCCACTTCTGGGGCTTTTGCATTCAGCTACTTTTGTTGCACTTGCCGCGGGAGCCATCTCGGGAGCGTACTTGGTTTGCAGGGGTTGGTTCTCGGCAGCAGCCGCGAGATTACTTGGTCCAGTGGGCAGGTCACAGGGCAAGGAGTAGGGAAGATGCGGTGCATTTTTTTGGAGGGTGATCTGTGTTTGTAAACACTTTCGCGGACTAGAGGGAAGTCCGGCCCCAAATGCTGGTGGACTGTGGAATTCTGCTGTGTCCTGAGGCCACTCCAGAGACCCCACGCCGTGTCTGTTCCGGAGCGCGTCTCGGTGGCCGCCGCGCCGTGTGACTGGAGGGATGCTAACGTGGAGCGGGCGCCGTGTCCTCCCCGGCGTGATGCGTGTGTGGGAGCGCGCGTGTGTTTCCCTGACACGGGGAACAGTTATGAATCGGGGGTGTGTGTTTGCCTCCAGAGACCTGGCAAGGTGCGGAACCCTCCAGAAGTGCGGTCAAGCGGCGGTGGCAGCGGAGACGGCGAGCCAGGAGCCTCCCCCCGCGTCCCCAACTTCCCGGTGATGCGGCGGAACCCCCGGAGAAAGTTTGCAAACTTCCAGCGGGCGCGGCGAGGACGCCGGGTCACCTAGGGGGCGGGCGGGCGGGCGCGGGGGGCTCGCTCCCTCCCGGTGCCGAGCCTGCCGCTGCCACCTCTCCCGCAGGGCTGCCCGCCGCAGCTGGTGGGCGCGCGCGCTCGGGGAGGGGACGTGGCCCTTGAAGGGCACTTGGCTTTCGCTCCAGGCGCAGAAAGCTCGAGAGTGGCACGGCTCTGTTCGCTTTCAGTCCTGCAGCCGTCTCCTGCCTCCGTCCCGTTCTCGCTGGCATCATTACCTCTTCCCCGCCGCTGCCCCAAATGACAGCTCCCGCTTCTGCCGCGGCAGCGCGGTGGCAGTTCCCAGGACCTGGCGGCGGAGCCTTCCTCTCTGCAGATTCTCCACGCAACCGCTTAAACTTTTCACGAAGTTCTTAGAGGGGCAAGACGCGAGAAGGAACCAAGGACACGTTTTCCTCCGGCAACTGCATCCCACTTCTTCTTTGCCGTAGAATTATTTCGGGGGTCGGGGAGAGGGAGTATCCGGTAGCGTTAAGCCCTCCCCGACTTGGCCTGAACGGGTGCCACCCCGACTTGATGCTTGTTCAAGGCCAGGAACTGGAGTGGGCTGCTTGTATATTGCGTTGTCAGAGTCCTCAGAGTGCGTTTGATTTTTATTTTTCCCTCCCTCTCTGACATGTGTCAAGGAATAAAGGCTGGATACAGGTCCATTACGTCATTCTGCAGGCCAGCAAGTGTTTGATTAACAGCTTCAGAAACTGAAGAGTTTGGGGTTTAGAGATGCTGACCAAGCAACTCTGCTTTCCATCCCACCCGCAACATACTCGTACAGTCGCCGGTTCCGTGGGCATCTTTATTGCCCTTTCCTCCCCGGACCCCTCCTTCTCTACCCCCTCTTCCGCCCACACCGTAATCACTCTGGCCCCGCCTCCCCCTTTTAGTGCTTTCCCTGGGGCGATCACTGTCCCCGGAGTGTGCCTAAGAGCTTCTGGTGTCTGAGGGGAGCACAGTACCTGATCAACACACACACAATCTGCCCTTTTCTATTATTTAAGAAAGGCACCAGCGAGCCCTCTTCTCCCGGGCGAAAATGCTCCGTCCTGACAGAAAAGGCGTCTCAGGAAACAGAGTCCTTATGATAATACCCTGTCCCTTTGGTGACTTAGGAAAGCAACACACCCACTGCGAACAAAGTACTTAATTTGACATAGCGCCTTTCTCCAGCCGAGTAGCGGAAGAGGGAAGAAATGAGGATGCTGATTAAATCAGATGTAGCCGAAAGAATCAAGATTCAACGTTTCATTTACAAAGTGAGGGAATGTGAGTCGTTGAACCCAAAGCACCTTACAATAAATTGATGTATATACTTCTTTCTCTTAATCCGAAGTTTCTATATTTAAAGAGGAAGTTGAATACCTAAGTGGTCGAATTGAGTCAGAATCTGCCTGTCTGGCAGTAGAAGTGGAAACACTCTTGTGTGTGACGTGTGTAAGAGATAAAAGTAAAAAGAACTCTTAGTGGGGGAGGGTGCGTGCGTGCAGCAGAAATTTAAAAAAAAAATCTACTGACAGAGTTTTGGATTGAGTGGGGCAGAGGATTTGGGTGCTCTCTGATTTTAAGTTGGCGGAAGCTAAATTAAGGAACATTTATATTCTGAGTATGTGGGAATTTCGTGAAGAACACATGTTTTGTTATAATCAGATCTACTTTCTTCCAAGTGAAACAGCCTTGCTGTGGAGTAGGCATTTGTGAAACTCCTGTCTGGGGTCTAATTGACATCCTTCCCCAAGTTTGTGGCAGTATTTATTATTCATTCACATCTAGAGATGAAATAGTATAACCCCTGCAGAATGCATGTGCTTCTAAAATGTTAAACTTCTTGTTTGCGATGCATAGACCTGAAGGAAAAAATGGCCTGGGTCACCAGCATGGGAGAGCGTGATTAATGATCAGTGATTTAGTGATCAGTGATTAGTGGTTTTATTCAAACTGTTACCTCTGACCAGAAGCACACATCAGAGGATTAACAGGCTCTTTAGATAAATGCTCATTAGTGGAAGGGGAAAAGCAAAGATAATAGGCATGCACCCAGGGACAACTTTCGAAGAAAATCATTCCCCGTCTTCAGAATAATAAGCTCTATTAACAGAAAGCCCTTTTAATTTAAAACTTGCTTTTATCTTGTAAATCAAAGTTAGATGTAAAAGTTTGTAGTGCCATTATAACCTAAATTTTCCCATATCCACTCGATGTGGATTATCTCAGTAGCGATATTTTTTTTTATTTAAATAAACAATTGGACCTTCAGAGCAGCTGAACCCTGACAAGTTCTTAACTCCCAGGGTTTGAAGGTGTCCCCCCTTCGAGAACGGAGAGCGCAGCTTGCTAGCTAGATGGCGCACTGTTCTTTGGTGTTCTGTGCCGTTGAAATGCAGGCGTCTCAAGGAGCAAGTAGCTGCTTGCGAGGTGTTCTTCCTCACTTCCAACAAAGTTGATTCTGTGTAGGGTTGGAGGCTAGACAGTTCTACAAGTTTTTAGTCACATTTTCCATGTCAGTTAAATCTGGGGAGTTCAAGGCTACTGGAAAAATTAGTCTCATTACTAAAAGAAACTTAGCGAACGAGGGAGGAAAGGAGGTACCAGAGTCCAGGAGGTACCTCTTGGTTGCAGAAGTGATTGTAAAATACCAGACCTGTTCTTCTTCTTCTCCTCCTTCTTCTTTTTTTCTTTGTAACTCAAGAACTAGTTTCACGATCTTGTGGTCTGAAATTGTGAAGCAAATACTCAAAGATTTATTTTCTTCCTAATCTTGCTGGTGAAAAAGAAGTTACTAGAAAGAAAGGAAGAAAAAAAAAACCTGATTTGGTGACTGCAAGAAGCAACACGTTGCTGATTTTATTCTACGAATAATGGTAAGATGATGTTTCTTATGCTTATGAAGCAGAAAGGAACTTTGCAGTTAGTTAAATGAGGCCGAGCTTATGTTTTCATAGATGGAATTCAGAAATGGAATTCTTATTTCACACTGAATTTTAATGTTGCCTTTGTCGGTTTCCTGGGACTTGGTAGCATTTTGTATAGAAGGTGTTTGTGTGTGTGTGTGTGTGTGTGTGTGTGTGTGAATAGGACCATTATTTCCTGGGTAAAATAATGTTCATGGGTGTGTGAACTGCAGGGGGTAGCTATGAAGCATGTTAAATAATGTGTCAGGTAAGAATTCCTTTTTCCACAGGCCTTCATGAATCACTTTAATAAGTACTTAAGTTTTAATAAGAAAGGCATTTTAAAAAAAGAAAACTAAAAATGAAAATAAAACAAACCATTCTCCACATCCAGACCTCGATAGGTATTCCCCTGAAGTAGGGTGCTGTTGATTGAATATCAGTTATTACCTGAGTTTTAAAACTTAAAAAGAAAACAATCATAGAACTCACTGGTGCCTCCCTGTAAATGTCCTCATTTTCCTTTGCATCATTTTATATAGATCTGTTATTTTAAAATCCTGACTGAGGAAGAACGACTTGTATTTTTCAACTTTACTAAGGGTAATCATGTTTGCTCAATTGATAATATCTTCAGGCTGTTTTTGAATGTAAATTGTTGATACCTGTAAACTGCCTGTCAATAAGAAGTCAGTTGTGACCTTATGTAGTTTCTACATGAGTAGGTAGTTTATTAGAACATTCCCACAAAAACATGGGCCTATCTTTGTGACATTGCAGCTTTGATTTGAACAGGAGGTTAATTGAATGGTAGTTTGCCCGAGAGACTTTTCCTCTATAGCTCTTCAATTACTGTAGGCTGAAGATTATCATACAACTAATTGTCAGTTTCCCACACCTTCGGATTCCAAACCAGTTGATCATGGCTGTTGGTACCACTGTCAAGTTCCTGGTCTCCTGATTTCTTACTATAATTTGCCTTTTAGCAAAGATGCATCACTTTCTATAGTATTTCCTTAGCCTTGGAGTTTGTTTCTTATTAAGCTGAAAATTGTTTCGTGGGTTGGTAATGTTTGCTGTATCCTGAAGACGTGAACTTTCTGTTTGTAGTTGGTTTTCTTCTGATCGCGTTGTTAGATTAAAATTGGGGATTTGAGCAGACTTATTATGTTTGTCATCTTTTTTTCCCCCCTCCTTCACTTCAAAGCAGTGCTTTTAGTCACAAAATTAATGTGATCATGGCTGGTGTTTCCCATCTATACACTTCTTTTGCTTCTTACAAATTGGATTTCTACAGCAATTTAAGATCTTTTTTTAGAGGCAGCTTTCTTGGATGAAGATGGAGCAATGATCTCAGTCAATTCATTATCTTGTCCAGTTTGACTACTAGCTGTATTATGGGAATCTACCAATGCTTTTTATAAATTAGTGCTTAAAAATGTATATCCAGTACTATCTCTCTGAATGCTATTTAAGAAAATTATGCAACTGAGATAAGGTAATGAACTGGGGGGGGGCAACGGCCTCAAACATTTAAGTGTAAGAAGCACTTTCCGATATGATAAACAGACTTAAAGAACCTTTTTGTATTGTTATTTGTAAACTAAATAAGCTATCTATTTTGTGGCATTGTTTTAAATAGAAACTCTGACACTTTAAAATGACATCATGTTAAAAGTTCTTTTATTTTGTAATTAGGGAAAAAATGGGCAATTAGTGATTTTGAGGATCTATTAGTATTCCATTGTTGGAAATCGCAAATCATGGACTTAACATAAGAGAAAAAAGAACAAGAAGGCTTTTACAAATTTTCAGGTAGTGATAACAGTATATCAGAAATAAGAGTAGAATTTTTGAAGCTCATATTGAGACTCTGGGACTTTCAAAATAAAACTTACATAGTTTGGATAAATTTCGGAATGTATAAGATGCTTCTTTGGCATTTCTGTATTTCTTTCTGTCAAGCTCACTCTATTATTCATTTATATTTTCTGAGAACTAGATCAGAATCAACTTAACACTTTAAAAACACTTATTTTAGTTGCTTCCTTCTGTTTCTTCAAGGTTTACAGTTCTAATCTCTCTACCCAAAAATTAACAAGGATTGAAAACTACCATGTTGGTGTTTGGCTTGAATTCATCTTGGAGAGGAAGAATTCCTTTTGGACCAGGGATTCTGATGGTGAGCTAGAAAGGCTTGCTATCATGTATACAGAGTTGGAGCTAAGGAGGTCTTCTCATTGATAGACCAACCTTGTCATTTTGCAGAGAAGAACCGAAGGCCTGGTTGTGTCCCCTGGCTCACTGAGGCCCACAGCTAGAGAGTGCCAAACTGAGCCGAAAAGCCAGGTCCCGGCCTCCAGGTCGGGTTCTCTTTCCATGAGCCAGGCTGCCATAAATGGTCATGAATGAGACATAACCCGTGGCTTCGGAGGCTTTGCTCTTTTCAAACCTTTTGATCACTAACCTTTCAAAGACAGTTTTTATCAGATCTTTTGAATGAGTCCCCTGACCATAAAACTGTAGTTTGTATTCTGTATATTCTGATATATTTGTAATGCTAATTTTTTTTTTTTGTGTTGACTTCATTACTGGAAAGCCATTCTTCTTATTCTCCTTCATTACTATTAGACATGCCCTGTAAAACAGCACCCTCCAGATTTCATTTGAGACTAAAAATCAGACAGAGCTTAAAGATGTTCTAAAAGATCTCTCTAGGATAAGGCAGGAACTTTTGTTACTTCCTTTCTTTTCTTAATCACCTTTGAAGAAGGGATCTGAAAAATTATTTAAAGTTAAAATAAATCATCTTTCTTTGTGTCGAATAGAGCAACAAGTGTTACTTTTACTCTGGCAGATGTACTTGTAAAGCCCAGAGTCTGTCTCCAGTGTTTTATCTTTCCAGGTCGGTGTATATGAGAGAGTTTGGAGGGGAATGTTACTGCATCAGAAGTGAGTTGAGTCTAGAAGCACGCTATTTGAGGTTTGCCTGGCAAAGTTGACTAATCATAACTAATAGAAATCATGCATGCAACATAGGGGGCTCCTGAACACCACACATTTGATTTAAGATGACATCTTGGTTATGCTGTATTTAGGATGGGGAACAAGAATATCTCAATAGAAATCTTGAATTCATCTACTGTATGTGTTATTTGGCATGACCCGTAGTGTTCCTTTCCAGCTCTTTGTGTGAACACTTTATATCAGAATTTAGGTCTCTTTCATTCTCCTGTTACACTGAGGAGCCCCTGTGTTGCATGATTCCTCAACTACAACACATTTCAGCCAATTTTATGCAGTTCTCTCTCTGCTGGCTTCCCAAGGGGGAAAACCACATGCAACAAAAAACATCTTTGTTTTTGTTTGAATTAGCTGTTTATAAGAAGAAATACATTTCATCTCCCATTGCCAGATCTGGTAGGACCCTTTTATTTTATCAAAACAAGATCTTCTTCTCTAAGTAAGCGATGATGCTGTTTGGCCTCTGAATGACCAGGTCCTAATCCTTGCACCGGAGGGAAGGCATTGAAGATGAGATCTGTTTCCACCAGGGTGGCTAGGCGTGATGTGGCAGGCCCTCATGAAGAGCCCGATCTGCCTTCCTGCAATGACAGCGTTGTCCAGAAAAACACGGCCTTCTGGGAGGAAGGACAGTATTCTGTTCTCGAACTTCTAAATTCTGAGCAGGGACTGTGTTGAAAATGGCTCTCAGGATGCAGAGGGTTGTCTGAGGTTATTTACTAAACTGCAACATAGTAAAACATAAGCCAGAACTTAAAAGCTTTGAGGGTCTTCTTCATTCATTCTCTGCATTTACCTTATACTGATGTTTTTCTAGATTTATTTTAAGTATCCATTCTGGTTACTCTGCTTTCACGAGTGACTCTACAATAACAAATCATGAGTGTGTGCCTAACGGGGGAGGGGACATTTTTCCATGAAGGAAAACAGATTTTAATATCCAATCGTAGAAGAAATAAGTAGCAAGACAAAAGAGAGAAAGGTTTGAAATCGAATTGATGGCATCCCAGGCTCAGCCGTAGCTCTACAAAACCGTGTTGTTCATGGCCACAGGAAAAGACTAACTAGAAGAGTGAATCCTCAAAGTGCTGCCTTCAACTCCTAATGCTTCTCTGCCTCAATTTCTTTTTTATTTTTAAAATTTTTTTTAATTTTTTTATTTTTTAAAGATTTTATTTATCCATTGGACAGACAGTAGTAGTAGACACAAGTAGGCAGAGAGGCAGGCAGAGAGAGAGGAAAGGGAGGCAGGCTCCCTGCTGAACAGAGAGCCTGATGCGGGGCTCGATCCCAGGACCCCGAGATCATGACCTGAGCCGAAGGCAGAGGCTTTAACCCACTGAGCCACCCAGGCGCCCCTCTGCCTCAATTTCTTCGTGAGTGATAAAAGAATGCACTGTCCAACAGTGGGAGCCATAAATGCAAGCCACCCATGTAATTATAAATGTTCTAGCAGCCACATTAAGGAGGTAAAAAACGGTTAATTTTAATAACGTATTTTATTTAACCCAGTGTATTTGAAATAGTATCATTTCAACATATAATCAATATAAAAATGTTGAAGAGATACTTTGTGGGTTTTTTTTTTTTTTTAATTTTGTTGTTGTTGGTCCCAAGTCTTTGAAATCTGGTATGTAGTTTATAGTTAACATGAGTTACAGGTCTCAGTTCCGGCCAGTCACGTTTTTCAAGTGCTCTTGTGGCCACATGTCGGCCAAGTGACAGTGGTGTCAGGTAATGCAAATCTACACTCTGGTCCAGTGGTTCTTAATCCTGGTAGCCCAGTGGAACCACCTGTGGGGTCTGTAAAAAGTACGGGTACTCCTCCCCATGCCCGATTCCAATCTGATTGGTTTGGGGTGGGGACCTTGCCTTTGTATTTGTAAAAAGCTCCGAAAGTGTCTCTAAAATATAGCCAGGTTTGAGAACTGCAGTTGTAACTGATC